AATTAATAAACCTAGACCAAGTGGGATTCATACCAGATTTACAAGGGTGGTTCAACATCAGAAAAACAATCAATGTAATAAACCACATAAACAAAATAAAATAAAAGAATCATATGATTATATCAATCTATGCAGAAAAGGCATTTGATAAAATCCAACATTCATTCCTGTTCAGAACTCTCAGCAAAATAGGGATAGAAGGGAAATTCCTCAACATAATAAAGGGCATATATATATGCAAAGCCAATGGCCAACATCATTATTAATGGAGACTCAAGGCATTTCCCTTATGAACAGGAACCAGACACGGATGTACTCTATCACCACTTCTATTTAACACTGTATTGGAAGTCCTGGCCAGGGCAATAAGGCAAGAAAGAGAAATAATAGGCAAACAAATTGGGAAAGAGGAACTAAAACTATATCTATTTATAGATGATATGATCCTGTACATAGAAAACCCAAGGGACTCAATGAAAAACTACTGGAACTAATAGAGAGGTTCATCAGCAAAATAGCAGGATACAAGGTCAACATACAAAAATCAGCTGGATTCCTCTACACCAACAAAGAGTCCTCTGATAAAGAAATAAGGGAAACAATACCATTTACAGCTACTAAAAAGATAAAATATCTAGGAATAAACCTCACCCGAGACACAAAAGACCTATACAAAGAAAATTATAAAATACTGCTACAAGAGACAACAAGGGCACTACATAAATGGAAGAACCTACTTTGCTTGTGGATAGGTAGACTGAATATTGTGAAAATGTCAATACTATCTAAAGCAATCTACACATTTAACGCAATCCTAATCCAGAGTCCAACAAAATTTTTTAAGGACATGAAAGTCCAATTACTAACTTCATATGGAAAGGAAAGATATTTCACATAAGCAGAATATTTCCAAAGAAAAACAAAGTGGGAGGGCTCACACTCCTGGATCTTAAGAACTACTATACAGCCACAGTAGTCAGAACAGCATAGTATTGGTACAAGATGGACAGACAGACCAATGGAACAGAATCGAAAGTCCAGATATAGACCCATACATCTATGGAAACCTGATCTTTGACAAAGGTCCAAAACCCATTAAATAGGGAAGAGACAGCCTCTTTAACAAACGGTGCTGGCAAAACTGGATATCCACCCGCAGAAAAATGAAACGAAACCCATACTTCACTCCATACACAAAAACAAACTCAAGCTATATCAGAGACTTAAATGTAAAACCCAAAACTATAAAATTTCATCAAAGATAAAATAGGGGCAAATCTTGGAGCCCTGATTTACAGCATAAATAGACTATCAAGCATAATCCAGAATGTGCAGGAGGTAGAAGAGAAGCTAGATGACTGGGACCTTTTAAAAATTAAATTCTTGTGCACCTCAAAAGACTTCATCAAAAGGGTAAAAAGAGAACCTAGAGTTTGGGAGAAAATATTTGCCTATGACACATCTGATAAAGGACTTATCTCAAATCTACAGAAAACTTCAACACCTCAACACCAAAAAGACAAATATCTCAGTTCACAAATGGGCAAAAGACTTGAACAGACACTTCACCAAAGAAGATATGCTGGCAGCCAGCAAACACATGAGAAATTGCTCGTGATCCTTAGTCATTCGAGAGATGCAAATCAAAACAACAATGTGATATCATCTCACCCCAGCAATAATAGCAAAGTTCAACAGGTCAGAAAATAACAAATGCTGGCAAGGTTGCAGAGAGATTGGAACTCTTGTGCACTACTGGTGGGATTGTAAAATGGTACAACCATTGTGGCAAAAGTTATGGCGTTTTCTTAAAAAACTGAAAACAGAAATACCATTTTCCCAGCAATTCCATTACTAAAGTGGTGAGAGAAAGCACATGAACAGACATATGTACGCCTATGTCATTGCAGCACAATTCGCTATAGCAAAGAGATGGAAACAACCTAATGCCCATCAACAGATAAGTGGAAAACCAAATAATGGTACATGCACACAATGGAATACTATGCTACATTAAAGAATAATGAGGGACACATGAATCATCTCACAACATGGATGAACCCGGAGGACTCTATGGTGAATGAAATAAGTCAATCACAGAAAGACAAGTACTGTATGAGCCCATTACTGTAAAAAGACAAAGAAGGGTTTGCTTGGGAAAGGGAACTCACTTTGTAGGTTACCAGGATGGGGAAGGAAGGGGAGGGATTAATTTTGGGCTAGTTGGGGCCCACGCACTGACATAGTTAAGGGAGGGATATGTGGAAAGGATCTGTGACCACCATGATAACATTAGGAAATGGGAGGACACCGAATTGCACACATAAGAGATAGACAACAGATGCTAATGCCAACCAATGTGTCCACAATACTGCATTACCATTAACATCAAACACCAGGCTACAGATAGACACATAAACACCTGAGAGGATCAGATGGCATTCAGTGAACAGGTGAACAGGAGAATACTCTAGACCAAGATAGATTCAGTGGAGGCTAATCTTGCACAGACACCAGTGATACAAAATACCTGCAATCCTTACAGAAACAATAGACGACAGACACAGAGTCTGTGAGGGATTCTTCATAGACACCCAGACACTATGGGAGAGAGATCCAATAGATCTACCGTCTCAGGACCATAGTACTGGGGGACACCAGACTCAATTGGCACAAAAAAATACATAAAAGCCTTGTTCCACATCCTACATTGGTGAGTAGCGACTGGGATCTTAAAAGCTTTCAAGCGGCCATCTAAGTAAGATGCAGCTAATGGTGTCCTAGCATCAGAAGCAAAGAAGAGTGCAAAAAAACATGGGCATTTGGAAGCAATCAGCCCTAGGACATGATGGCCTTGAGATCAGAAGATCTAGATGGTGCCTGGCTACCAATGCCAACCACTCAGGAAAGGATCAAATCTGGAGATCCTGGATAGAGTGGGAGGAAAAACATGTAACAAAATCCAAAAACTCAATAATGACCAGAATTACTGGTCAGATGGAGTCTGATGAGACCCCCAATACTATGGCCCTCGAATACATTCTGTGCCTGGAATAAAACTCACTCTCAGGGGTTGGCTCTCAGCCCAACAGTTAACAAGATGTACACGCAGACCACTCAACCCAGGATGACGCACCCACATACTCTATGGTAATACATACCTTAGAGCAATAGATGACGGGGCACCAGTGGGGCAACATTCGAATCAAGGAAATGCACGAAAAACAGGATTGCATAACTATGAGGGGCACAGAGGCAGGATTACTGGGCAAGGAGGGGAGGAGACTGGGTTAGGGTGGGGCATGGTAAATGGGGAGTGAACCTACATGTACACATAACATTGAATGTAAAACAGGCTCTTAAATAAAAATAAATAAATAAATAAATAATTTTAAGTACTTATTTACCCTAAGGCATTCGACTGCTAACTAGAAGGCTAGCGGTTCAAACCCACCAGCCACTCGTCAGAAGGAAGGCTGGGCAGTCTACTTCCCTAGTGATACTGCCTTGGAAATCCAAGGAGGGGTCGCTATGATTTGGATCTGACTCTATGGAAGTGCATTGCATTGTTTGCATGACGCAAAAGGAGCTCTGATAGCACAGTGCCTAAGGTATCTGACTGTTAACCAGAAGGTTGATGTTTCAAACCCACCAACCAGTCCCTGGAATCAAGACTGGGAAATCCACTTCCTTAAAGATTTACTGCCTCAGAAATGGGGGTCACTACGAGTTGGAATTGACTCCACGGTAGTGAGTTTTTTGGTACTATGCAAGAAGATAAAAAGATAAGTAAAATATATCCTCTGTCCACTCTTATGAAGCAACTATCTTAGACAAGTCACTTAACTCCACAATAGTTGTTTCCATTTTATGTATAATATAATGTGATTGCAATAGTTGATGCTTGAGACAGATCGCCAGGAAAAAAAAAAAAAAAATTCTTATGAGTATGAGCCTTCACTACCTTTGATTTTTTGGGGGAAAACAATGGAAAAAAAAAAGAGGGTAGATTAGATGAAGAAAAGCCCAGAGAATGAAGTTAATATTTTGAAAGCTAGCCATGAACCAGTGGTGACTCTGATATTTTTAACTGAGATTAATCTGCAATACGGTTAATATTCATGTGACAAATTACCTGTTGACTACTGAGTTATAATTCCTACCTACAAGAGAGGTAAATATGTTTAGGCATTCTAAAGCAAAATCAAATTCATAATACTGATTTAGATAAAATGAGTAATTTATCTTTCTGTAAACATGTTTGCTTCTTGTTCTCAGAATTAATATTCTCAGAGTTAATATTCTTTGTAACGTAGTATCCTTCTCTAATAGTATTCCAATTTGAGGAGTCCTTGGTACTTGTAACAGGATGATGCCTCACACAGGACTAGTCAATGACCATTTCTAAGAACAAAATGATTTTAAATCTGATGTAATTCATAGTAAATGAACTAATTATTAATTCTGAATAGACTTTCACTAGAGCTTTTCTTAAAAAGCACAAGTAAATTTTATTCTATTTGCTCCACCATAGTGGAGAATTGACTCTAAGTATGACCAAAGTATGCATCTTTGAATACAGATTGTAAACATGACTTACGCAAAATTCTGAATATCTCTCATTATTACATTCCCCTAATCTCCATACACAAGAGTGCCTGTTGTTCAGGACATAGAAAATTTAGTGCATTATAATGCTACTTACTTGAATAGACTACATTTCAAAGATATTAACACTGTGAACAAGAAGCACTTCTGCATCAACAAAGGTAAATTTCTCATTTTTTATCCAAATCATTATTTTTATATGTATGTATGTGTAAATATATATTTTACTTTGAAAGCCTGAATTAGACAAAACAATTATGAAATTTTTAAATTTGCATTTGCAAATTTCAAGAACATTCTAATGATTTAAACTAGGGGGCCATACATTAATAGTCTCATCTCCTAAAATCTGGTGCATTACAACTCCATATTTTCTTATGGTTCCATTTTACCTCCTCTGGGACAGCTCTTATATTAACAAAGCCTTTTCTGAAGATGATGAACACGCGCCGGGCTCCACAACGTAAAGCGGATGTTGCACAGTCAAAGGCAGTGTCTCCAGCTCCAAGTACAATCACGGCTCCCCGTATCGATGGCAATGGAGAGTGACAGGCACACATTCCTGAATGATGAAAGGAAAACCCCATTTTCAAGTAGAGAAACCATTTCTGCATGACAGCTCAAAAGATACTTGTACTCAAAGCAGTGTAAAATTGCATCTTGCAGTTTTCGAGGATGGAGTGTCACTATCAAATTATTCTGCTTCATTGAAAGACAGTTTTATTCCCATTTTAAAAATATGCTCATATATGTAATTTCATAGTCAGTACCTTTAGCAGCACTGCCTCCTTTTTTCCTTCTAGAAGGATCACTACAACACATTCTGAAGAGTCTAGGTCATAACAAACTGGAATCAATCAATTAAAACTCTCTTTGTTAACATTGTGGTGAGTACTTTACCTTAGTATCACTAAACTTCTGTTTGTCAGGAAAAACAAAAAAAGACCCTTAGTATCCAGGTTAATGATTTGAAGCAATTCATTCATTACTTCATTTATGTATTATAAGCTTTCTAACATATGGCTTTGTTATGTATGGCATACTAAGCTTTCAAATTTAAGTAATGAATAATTAACTGAATATAAGTGAAGAATTATTTAGATTTTTTTTCTTACTATAGTCAAAATAAAACTTTCTCATGTTACTGGTTTTCCTGGGTTTAGTTTACAAACTTGGCCAATAAAAGAAATATGACTTTCTTGTGTCCACTTCTCAAGGGAATCTATATAAAGATTTGTTATGCATATGATGAACTCTATGAAAATATAAAAAGTGTTCTCTATATATTAGATAGTGTTCTATCATGAGATTAAACTGTTGATAAGATAAATTACTATAATTTTGAAATGGTACTATGGATAAAATAGACCTATAATCTCCATAAATGTTATCATTTTTGCTTGGAAGAGTTCCTACTGGGGATTATACAATCATCACTCTGTAATTCTCAAGTGTATGCTATATGACTGTGATCTTTTTCAATACAAAGCATCTAGCTTTTCTGAAAGGAAGAAAGTAGACATGCCATACATCTTTAGCTTTAAACTTATATAGATAGATCCAATATAGAAAGTTTCTGATCTTTTTAAATTTTGGGAGAAAAATGTATGCCATTTTTCTGCACATAAGTAGATGCTAAGATAGTTGAAAGTCAGACTTCTTTAAAAATAAATGAATAGAGGATTTAGGTCATCGTGTTTTTGAAAAAATATTATAGCAGCTTCATCACTAAGACCATGACTCTGGCCAAGGCTTAGTATGGTACTGACTCAGCTCTAGGTTGTTTTCCTTAAGGTGTATCAAGTACTATTATTTAGACCTTTTGTAGAGTGTTTAAGTTCATAAAATTACAGTTTCATCAGAGACCTTGAATCTTTCTGCATGCATGGACACAAATCATTTAAGATGTTCTATTTCTCCTATAAGTCCTGATACATGCCACAACAAGGATGAACCTAGAAAATATAATGCTGAGTAAAATAAGCCCATCACAATAAAGACAAACATTGTATGATTTCATATTGTATGAAACACATAGGCAAATGTATAGAGATCAGGGAGTAATTGTAGTTACCAGGGGCAGAAAGGAAGAAGAAATAGGGAAGTCTTTGTTTAGCTTGCACCAAGTTTCTGTTTATGGGGATGGCAATGGATGTTGGTGATAGTTTCACAATAAGTGAAAAAGTTGGATTGGCAAATGTTGTGTGACCTATATTTTACAATTAAAAAAATAAGAAGAAAACATAGTTTAGTTCCTAAACTAAAGCTCTAACCATTTCTCTCAAGAATATCTTCTAATGTTTGTTACAGACTCTCTTACTTTGCAGTAATTTTTAATGACGCAGTTTATATCATACCTGAAAACCACTTATGATGATATTGATTGGAACAATGGATAAATAGATGATTCTGGCAAAATGTCATATCACGATATTTTACTTCACTTGAGTGCTATTCAAGGAAACAATCTGAGATCTGAACAATATCCTACTGAGCTTATATGCAATGTAATGCAGCATACATTCAATAACATAGGTACTATAAGAATAAAAGACAATATGCTATACCTGGTTTACTGGCTTTGGCTACAAGTGGCAAAAAGTCTTTGGACGTGTAAAATCCCTGGTCCTGTGTCAGGCCTTGGAAGATATGGTCTTTATTTGGTTCTGGCAAACCTAAGTAATAAAATGTTTATAAAATACAATTAGTAGGAAGAGGAACTTACTATACTAGGTATTAAAACAAAGTAGAATGCTTTAACCAGTTAAAGTTCTGACAGGAAAAAAAAAATCTATGGATGAATTAACGGAAGAAAAACAATGTGTTACATTAACAAAGCACACTTTTAATATGTGATGAAGCACATATCACAAATCACATATGCATGCACACATGTACAAAGAAACATATATGGATACAAAAATACACAAAACATACACATGTAATATTAAGGGGAAAATCAAGTATATTATTTCATCATATTATAGAGAAAAATAAGTATTAAATAGGATAAAGTAATAAATATTTAAAAACCATTAAAAAAAACCTAGAACTGTGGAGGTGTATTTATCTAATTCTTAAATGTGAAAAATAATTTAAAGAAAAAAAACAATGTGGGAGAAAAACTAAAAAAAAAAAAAAAAGAAAATATTGTATTTTACCACAAAAAATCAGCTACTACCTCATCTCAAAATTATTATGGAAAGTAAATGATTAACAAGAAAAAACATATTTTGAAAATAAAATTGCTATAAAAAGAAGTTTCTCAAATATTAATAAGGAGCATGATAGCAATAAGAAATATATACAAAAGATAATGAAAGTTGAGAGGAAAGAACACAATCTTAACTCCATTAGTAAATAAAGGATAGCAACTAAAAACAATATTAAAGCAAACACTACAATAAATACATAAGTAAATAAATAAACTAGGAGAATACTTAAATATCCACAGGCTGATTAAATGGTTCCTACTAAAAAACAAATCAAAAGAAAACAACAAAAACCAGTATTTGAAAATTTTGGTGTCAGATTGTGGTAAAAACAATAGTATTAAATGAACTAGCAAGATACAAAACTGTTTAGTATGATTCAAATTTCATATAAAAATATATAAACTACATAGTTTGAGCAGTGAGATTATGGATTTGTTGTTATTATTATTATTTATTTTCCAAGTTTTCTAGAACACACATGCATTTCTATATAATTAGGAAAGAATTATAAAATTTTGAACAGAAAATGAGTAGCAGATTAATACTTTTCCCCAAATTAAAAATGAAGCAAACACTGTACTAACCACATCACCATAGGAAAATGGAGAATTAATTCATCTCAATTCTATAAACACAGGAGAAAATACATAGTTTAATTTTATTTACTCTCCAAAACTCATTCTCCAATGAGCTATTCTAGAGAGGTAAGAGCTCATTTTATAGGTAAATGAAATGCTGCTAGTAGATAGACAAATAATCAGTGTGGTCAAGGAACACTTTGGCTATGTGAGACAAGGTAGAGGATATGTTTGAGTTCAAAGCTGAACATACTTGTAAGTTGAGTGTATAATCAGCAACAAACCACTGCTGTCTCTTCAAATCACACTAAACATTTTTCTTCTCTGTCCAGGAGCCCTTCATATCCCCTTCCAAAGAGATTTACTCTTTGCTTATAAATTATTTTAAGATCTTTCTTTTTTTAAATATCTAATTTATCAAAAGAAGTCACTTGCCTTGGCTTGGCTTGGCTTCTCTATAAATTAAATGGGGATAAAATATATGGTCATTTTTTGATAAAGAGGAATATTCTTAGATATATCGGAAAATTAGAAACCATTAGCTAAATATGTGGTTATCTATGGGAAATTTTAGAAAGCCAGGGGGCAGTGGAGAAAGGGAATTACATGACAGCAGATGACTGTGTACTTAAAAACTCTAATGTCAAAATGATTTTCCCTGAAATCTATTAAAGGATGATTGTAATTTTACCTACACTTGATTAGTCAAACCAACATATGCATATGCAACATACCTAGATTTAAACAAGGACCCAAGTACCCTCTCTCCTATTATTATATAATAAAAATGATCTATGTTGTAAATGGCATTTCATATTCTTGCTTCAAATGACCATAAACAACCTGCAGTGCTACACAATTTCCGAATTATAAAATAAGCAAAAATCTGTAAGGCAGATCAAAAACATGGCTTAGAGAAGGTAAGTGGTGGATGAGATTGCTACAGCAGCTACACTCCGTCTCAAATCCAACCGATGGAAACTTCTGATCTGAGTTATTTAACTCTTTGCCACACTAAGGCTGAGAGAACACTTTACATATGCAATTATTTTCTATAAACTCACCACTAAAATAATTACTATCTAAAGAAGTACAAAAGCGAACAGTGGTAAAGTACTCAGCTGTGAACCAAAAGATTAGCAGTTTGAACCCACCAGTCGCTTCGTGAGAAATATGTGGCAGTCGGCTTCCCTAAAAATTACAGGCTTGGAACCCTCAACAAGAAATTTTACTCTGTCCTATAGGGGTGCTGTGAGTCAGAACTGACTTGACGGCAACGGCTTTATACCCACACAGATTTTCAAAAGAAAAAAGCTTTGGTAAAATTTAACTTTCTTTTTTTTTTTTTAATTTAACTTAAGACACTGATAAGGTCAATTGAGTTCCACCTGTGCTTTCACCCCACTTTACATTATCATTGCAATCAATTTAACATTTACTAGGTCAGAAGATGGGGCAATCTACTTCCATAGTGATACTGCCTCAGAAACCCAAGAAGGGGTCACTATGAGTCGTGTCCAACTTGACGGCACATAACAACAATAACAACAACAGGTCAGATTATCCTGTAATGTTCGAGAGGACACCTGTTAGATGTTTTGACATATAGATATTAGTTTAAGGAGAGAAAAAATGAGCCAGCAACTTGTATTATGGATCACATTACATGTACATCCCATATAGCCACACCTCAAGTCACAGACGTGTTTAGAGTTTCAAGGTCTGAGTGGATAGAGTCCTTGCACTCCACAGGAAGGTTATCCCTTCTGGTGTAGTAAAATTGCATCCGAAGCTTTCCTTACCAACCATTAAATAGTCCAGCCTAACTGTACTCCATTGTCTGCTAAATATGATGCTTTGTGGTAGACCATAGCAGGGACTTTATTATCAGACAGACTTTGGTGGGAGTCTTTCCTCTCCCATTGATCAGCTATGTGACCTTGTGTAAATTTCTGTGATAGATTTATATGTCTCTTGGCTAGGCGTGTTGTTGTTGTTATGTGCCATCGAGTCGGACCCAACTCGTAGTGACCCTTCCTTGAGTTTCTGAAGTGGTATCACTATGGAAGCACATTGCCCAACCTTCCTTCCCAGGAGTGGCTGGTGGGTTTGAACTGCCAGCCTTCTGGTTAGGAGTCAAGTGCCTTAGGAACTATGCTACCAGAACTCCCCTTGGCTAGGCTACTGCACTATTATTCAATCACTAATCTGGGTGTTGCCCTGAATGTATCTTGTCGATGTAGTTGTAAAGGAGTTGGATTAAGTCTCCTGTAATCCATTCAAAGATTTAAGAGTAAATCCGAATTTTCCCTGAGGAAGAAGAAATTCTGCCTCAATACTGTAATATCAGGTCCTATCTGCAAATTTCCAGTCTGCCAGTATGCCCTAAAATTTCAAACTTGCCAGTGTCCATAGTCAGGTAAGCAATTCCTTGAAAGCTTTCTCTCTCTTTCTCCCTCTCTATTTATATACATCCTATCCTACTGATTCTGTTTTCTAGACAGTTCCTTAATCTCCCTGACCTTCAACTACTTCATTGCTAAAGTAGGGATAATAATTATACTTTCATCATAGATGTGAGATTTAAAAGAGATTCATATATTTATGTATACAGATAGATAGACAGGCAGACATATACACAGCATTGAGACTTGGCATACAATAAATGCTCAATAAACATTAGATAGATGTATTCTGTAGTTTATAAATTCTTTCAAACTTCACAAACAAATGCAAGGAAGAATAAAGCTTAAATCAAAGTAAAGTATTAAACCCTAGTAAATTTAAACAAAGTGCTACAAAAAGAAAAGAAAACTGAGGCAACCTTAAGTGAAATATAAAAGATAATGAAACTTGCTAATACTCAGCTACCAAAGAAACATTTCCCTGCATATTAATAAATAAAGTAAGTGTCTATACCAGGATGATTTCAAAATGACACTGAAATGGCTTTTTAATTCACCGTTCACTGAGAAGAAGGAAGTTTGTGAATAACGAGGAATTGGCAAAGATCTGACAAAATAGTTCAGTGTAGCACAGGGATCGTGTTCTTTGTCTCTCTAGAAATCTATATACTTTCTTTGTTCCCCTAGAAAAATTACTGCATTCTTTTGTATTTCAAAATTTATTTATAAAAGGAACATCTCCTTAATAGCTATTGAAGATGATAATTTTCAAGTTCTCTGTAACAAAAATGAATTTTTCAAGGCAGCTTATGTTACATGAAGCCCTGGTACTGCAGGAGTTAAGTGCTCAGATGCTAACCAAAAGGTCAGCTTTTCAAACCATGTGGCAGATGAGGCAGTTAGCTTCCATAAAGATTTATAGCCTTGGAAATCCATGAGGGAGTTCTACTCTGTCCCATAGGCTCTCTCTGAGTTGGATTCAACTCAATGGCAGTGGTGTTATTGTTTGTTTGTTTGTTTGTTTTCACTTATCTTGCATAAAATTTAACACTTATCTATTATTTAAAACATAATAGGAACTATTCTAATTACATGGCATCTAGGTAGGTGATTGTTGTTGTTGTTGTTGTTATGTGCCGTCGAGTCGCCCCGACTCATAGCGACCCCTCCTTGGGTTTCCGAGGCAGTATCACTACGGAAGTAGGATTGCCCAACCTTCCTTCCGAGGAGTGGCTGGTGGGTTTGAACCGCCAGCCTTCTGGTGAGCAGTCAAGTGCCTTAGGCACTATGATTAGCATATATTAATTCATTTAATTCTCACAACAGCCCTATAAGACAAGTTATATTATTATGATCCCCATTCGAGATATGAGGAAACTGAGACATACAGAGATTAAGTAAATCTGCTGAACAGCATAGTAGAAATGGCATTGCCAATTTCTAATGTGGACAGTCTGTCTATAGACTTCAAAATGCT